TTGGGCCGACAGCCTGACAGCCGGGAAAGCTGCGTGCCAGTCCCCTAAACACGACAGGCGGACAAAAACAAAGCAGCATTAAAAACTCATCATCCGGCCACGTTGCAGCGCCATCGCCATAAGGAAAAAATGCCATGCGATGGGAAATCGTTCTGGGCGAACAACGTTGGAAAAATCTGGGGTGCAGAGAGTGCAGAGAAAATCGGGGAAATGGCAGCGAAAATCTGCCGCCTTTCCCGCTGCCGGCAATCGCAGGTTGACTGACATTTGGAATGCAGCGGAGCTCCGTTCTCCTTGTCCTGCCGCCTCGGGGCCCACTTAAGTGGTAAGGATAACAGCCAACTGTTGTTGGCAGCTGGCGTTGGGACAATGAACTCTCCAGCCGCCTCTTGAACCCAGGTAAACCGATCTGGCCGGCTCATCTTTCGCCGCTGCCGGCATTAAAGTAGAGGCCATTAATTCACTTTTTAATGAGAATCAAATTGGCATTGAATATTAGATTTGGGATTAGTTTTAAAATAATAATTTTTCCCTTTTTGCTATTAACTTTGATTCGCAAAACTGAAATTTAACTCACAAAGCGTGGCTATTGTTAGTTCTTAGCGGACCAAATTTTAACAATGAAATATGTTTGAAATGGTGTTGATACCCACATTCAGTTTCAGAAGTGTGGTTTTTAATACATTTAGACAGCCTGTTGATTTTATCTTATATCTTAACCTTGTAAGCTAGCCAAGAATAAAATTTCTTGGTTTTCCTTAAATTAATTATGCTGCGACTGACAATATAATATAAGCTATTTATAAATCTTTATCGATCTAAAAAAACCAAGGATAGCATATGTGCTATATAAGAAAACCTCTTTAAAAATCCACAAAAAATATATAAATTAATAAATCTTGTTCTCCCGGTTCTAATGCATTTCTTCTCAATAAACACATTTCAAATGAGACCAGCCAATGAAGTAAACATCCTTTTCCAGGGATTATCATGATGTACTGCTGATGGCTTCGGCAAGGGGACGCTGATCCAACTAATCAAACAGTTCGGGCACGCCATGGCATCATAATGCTCTGGATTATATGCAGCTGGCATGCCAACCAGCGATTTCGTGTAACCATACGCCACTCATTTAGTTGAAGTTGCCCCAAACCTTGGGGTTAAATACATATTCCCCTATAATCGTACGTATGTGCGGCGGCTCTTCAGTTTCCATTCGAGTGCATACGGGAAATTAATTGCTTTGCACTCGAGAGTACAACTTTCGGGGCTCACCCACCCCGATCCTTCGGTTCGTGTTGACATTAATCAATGACAATTTGGCATGGCCAGGCGCGTCTTCGAGTAGGCAGGAGCAGAAAACCGGACAAGAGCCACTCGAAAGTGTCAATATCAAATGAATTGCAATTAAGCACAATCCATCAGGCCATGTGTGAGTGGAGGTGAGGTGCGAAAAAGAGTTCGTCGCCCTCTGGTGATGCCAATTAATGATCGCCCAGCTGCAATCGCATTCTCGGGCCACTTAAACACTCTTGGCGTTGACAATTAAAATGTTCCCTCACTTCGCCACCTCCTGGTCGACCTACTCTCTCATTATACAAAAGTCCAGCAGAGCTGAAAATGGAACAAGAAAAAATGTTATAGACGACTGTCACGACCTTTAAATACTTCGTTATCTTCGTTAAGAGCTTTTGGGCACTAAACTTATCAGCCGCATAATTATGGGTTTCATTTTGTTTATATGTATACCACCACCAAACCAATTGAACAAACATAACCATCCTTTCTTTTATTAATTATATGAAAGGATTACGCATACCCCAATTAAAAATGAAAACATATTGAATACTATAAACCACTCTGCCTATGATAAGCCCTTATACCTTTTTGTGTATGATATTAAGAATATATCTCAGTATCTCATAATGTTTTTTAGGCATAAAACATTTTAAGGACCACTTATTTGCTATCAAAAATATACATTTTAGTTTTATAACAATTCTAATGACCCAGTTTACATCCAGTCATAAACAGTATAATATTAAGCAAAATAAAAATTTTTTAGAAAGGAGTCGTCGACATATATATATATGTATATATTATATATATATTTTATTTTTCCCCTTTTGTATAAATACGTTATACCCTTTTTGATCTAATAATACCGTGTATCAAAAAGGACAGCGGACGTCATACGGTTGTCTCGCTCTCCCCGCCGGAAACGGAAATGATAAGCGAGTGTCAACTTGCCAACTGCCTTTTCAGCTTCCTGTGCCGGCGAGTGTGTGTTGTGGTTTTATTTTCGTAGAATTTAATTAGAAAAGTTGGTTGGGCCTGGTCAGGTGCATGGCCCATACCCCTCACCCTTCACCTCTTGAGCTGCTGAAGACGCCTCATTTACTCTTTTAGCACAAAAGTCGAAGCCACTTTTGATAAGTGCGTGTTGCAAAAAAGTTCCTCGAATTTCCAGCGCCACCAAAAACGTGACAAAAACTTGTCAATGCACATGAAGTGGAGAGGCGTCGGGATCGGGTAATGGTGGCAATGGAGAGGAGGTCCACCAGCAGAGGTCCAACAGAGCGTGTCGAGTATGCAAAATAGGATGGGTTGCAAGGACAGCGACAAATGTCCGACATTAGCTGGAGAGCCAGCGCAAAAAAGGTGGAATAATAACATATTTGAGGGGACCGAAAACCAAAATACCCTATCGGTTTGTTTGTTATCTAATTTATCGATTTTTTATAATTTTACTAGAAATATAAAATCAAACCTGACCTAAGTAATAAGTCAAATAACACTAGTTTAAATTTAATATGAAATATTAAAAAATTTTAAAATAATATATAAGTCGATTAATCATATATATCTATTTTGTTTTATATTTATCGATCATATTTTACTGGCTAGAAAAAGGTTAAGCACCAACTTGTTAAAGGTCAATATTCTTTAGTTCTAAATATAATGGAAATAGGAAATTTTAAAACAAAACAAGAAAATTGTTTTAATGGTTTTTATGAAATTTATTAAATCATAAAGTCAGCTTGAGCTGGTTTCCAGCTTCTAACACCCAATAAAAATCGGAGGACCCCCTGGAAGGGAATGCCCTCAATGTGGAAGTGAGAACTTTGGGCAGGACAAAGTAGAGGAGCAAGATCGCTGCTGGTAACCTCGTTTATTATGTCATCGGGACAGCGAGCGGTGAAACCATTTCGAGGGCGCAGCGGGTGGTGCGAATGGGTTGTGGGCGTGGCAGCCCCCACAGGTGATTGGGCAGGTGTGCAAAAGGAGTGCGGATGGGGGTCCTGCGGATGGACGAAGGTACGTGCCCGGGGCAGAGGCGTAAAAGTGTGCGCACGACCAAACCGCGCGGACGAAAAGTTTCGCTGGCGGAGTGTCGTTGGAGACCCACTGGAATGCAGCGGGTCGCATCGGGGTCTCCACCTGGCCGGGGATCGGGTGTGCCGGCTTGAAAACTATAACTTATACAACTGGGCAACTGAGCTTGTTTAGATTTATAAGCTGCCACTGTCCTTGGATGGTCGGTGTCCGGTAAAATGCATTGAAGGCAAAAGTTGAGTGCGGAGTTGATGCTTCCTATCAGCGGGCAGCAGATATTGAAGTTTGCCTCCCTCTCAAGACAAACACAATGAGGGGCCTAAATAAAGCTCAAGTACACGGGAAATTACGCTGTAAAGTAAAGGGAACTAGAAAGGATTCACATATATAATCAGTAGACATAGTTGATGCGGATAAACATGTAATCAAATACCTTGGGATTTGCTGCCAAGGAGACTAGAGGGTGCTTTTTAAAGAAAAGGGTTTAAAAAAACGTGTCGTCTGAAGTATTTTTACTCTTGCAGATGATATTTAAATATCAGTCAGACATTATTTTTCCCGTTACTCGTAGAGTAAAAGGGTATACTAGATTCGTCGGAAAGTATGTAACAGGCAGAAGGAAGCGTTTCCGACCCCATAAAGTATATATATTCTTGATCAGGATCACTAGCCGAGTCGATCTAGCCATGTCCGTCTGTCCGTCTGTCCGTGTGTCCGTCTGTCCGTCTGTCCGTCTGACCGTCTGTCCGTCTGTCCGTCTGTCTGTCCGGATGAACGCTGAGATCTCGGAAACTATGAGAGCTAGGCTATTGAGATTTGGCGTACAGATTCCTGAGCTTCTTACGCAGCGCAAGTTTGTTTCAGTAGACTGCCACGCCCACTCTAACGCCCACAAACCGCCCAAAACTGTAACTCCTACAGTTTTGATGCTAGACAGAAAATTTTATTAAAATTTTAACTGAAATGTATTGTTCTCATCAATACCTATCGATTGACCTAAAAAAAAGTTTGCCACGCCCACTTAAACGCCCACAAATCCCGAAAACCTGTGACGCCCACAATTTGCATGCTAGATAAAAAATTTTAACTGATATGTATTGGTGTCGTCAATACCTATCGATTGATCCAAAAATAAATTTGCCACGCCCACTCTAACGCCCATAACGCTTAAATCTGTCTACCGCCGGTAGGTGGCGCATTTTAATTTCGCTTTGCTGCTTGCATATCTCAATTTCCCTTTGAGTAACGGGTATCTGATAGTCGAGGTACTCGACTATAGCGTTCGTCCTTGTTATATTCTAATCTATTCAGAAAATGAGACACCTATTAATAAGGTATAATACCATCTTATTAATCGGTGTCTGAATTTCTGACAATCCATGAGGTGGGTATGGTATCAAGTGATTTCTAAATCAATGCTAGAGGTTAAAGATGTTAGCTACGAGAATTACGAGCATGACACCTGTTTTTACAGATCCTACATTTGTATGTATATTTAAAACGACAGCAACAATACTATGTTGTTAAAATTGTCAGTGAAATCTAAAAAAACATATAAACATTTCCCTCCCAATCAAAAACTTTTCTCAAAAAAGATAGGCTAATTAAACACCAACCAGAGTCCGAATGCACGGTTCAAGGAGGACCGGCGATCACCTGGAGGAATGCCGGTTTTGGATGACCATTATAGCTTCCTTGACGACTGTCATGAGTGGCCAGAAGGACGCCTTCCGCGTTGGTGGTTCGGTGGCTTCTCCTCGATCTGTGTTGCCTGTGCGGTGGCCCCAATCGATATCGTGAAGACGCACATGCAGATCCAAAGGCAAAAAAGATCTATTTTAGGAACGACTCAAAGAATATACAATTTAAGGGGTAAGTAACACGGAGATATATTACACGATTAACGATATATAAAGGTATATAACACACAGCCAATAATAAATCTCGTTTTCAGGATTCTTAGGTTTTTATGATGGTTTTTCCGCTGCCATCCTTCGACAGATGACCAGCACCAATATCCATTTTATGGTATATGAAACTGGCAAGCAGATGGAGTACGTCAAGGAGGATTCATATCTGGGCAAAATTGTTTTGGGCTGCGTAGCTGGTATTAGTGGTGCCGCCTGCGGAATTCCAACCGATCTTATTAACGTGCGCATGCAGACTGATATGAAGGTGCCGCCGGAACAGCGACGCAAGTATTTTTACCCAACTTTTGAATTACCGCCATCAATCTTAGGGATACTCTCGCCACGATTTCAGCTATAAGAACGTCTTTGATGGTCTCATTCGGATTCCCAAGGAAGAGGGCTGGATGGCATTGTACAAGGGTGGATCGGCAGCGGCATTAAAGACAACAGTAGGAACTTGCAGCCAGATTGCACTTTACGACATTGTGAGTTCTTAAATCATGTTATCCAAAATATATAGAGCACTATAAGCTCAGTAAAAATAAATTTAAAGAATGAGAGTTGAAAATGAGAGTTGTGTATTAAAAAAAATAATATATTGAATCATAGTCACCTTTAATATTATTTTCCCCTGTTACTTTTTAAGATTAAAACGGAAGTGCGGAAAAGTACTTCTGCGAAAGATGGCATCCCCCTGCATTTCCTCACCTCCTTGGTAACGTCGATCATTTCGTCTACGTTCACGCATCCCTTAGACGTGTTGAGGACCATCATGATGAACTCCAGACCAGGCGAATTTCCCACCCTCTTCCACGCTTCCGTTCATATGATGCGGTTCGGCATAATGGGACCCTACCGCGGATTGATTCCAACGATAGCGCGAAAAGCACCAGCCACCACTTTACTATTTGTTTTGTACGAACAGCTGCGACTTCATTTCGGAATATGCTCCCTGGGAGGGGAATAATATTAAAAAATACCATGTGAACTTTTAATAAAGTTTTTGTACTATAAAACGAGAATGTAAAAATATAAAGGACTTTTTAGAAAATAATAAACTAAAAAAATAATGGAATATTTAACCCACTCTAAAACGACTAAAGCGAAGAAAAATGGAAAACCAAAACCCTGTAAGCTTTCTGTGCTTTGCTAGATCATTGACCCAAAGAGGTTCTTCCTTCCGCCTAACGAAACATCAACCACAACTGGTCGCATTATAAATTGATTACAACTCGCAACGTGACTAATGAACATTAATTTGTCCAACTCCTTGACAAGGAGGACGCAGTTGTGCCGGCAAAGTTGGGGCTAAATGCCAGCACGTGCTGTGTGTATAGTTCTAGTTTGGATGCCGCCACGATGACAACTAGGCGTATGAGCAACAATGCCCGGACAGCGATGGCGGAATCCACCGTCGTAGCACACATCCTTCATTCTTCCAGCGCCGATTGTGTGTCACGTAAGCGTGGGTAAATGTTGCACGTATGGATGGCATTGTCGAGGGTGGCATATGGAGGACACCCCGGCCATTACTAGACACGCACCCACTCTCGGCTACCCTTTAATCGTGATTGCAATCATTGTGGAAATTGAATTTGTAAGTAGGCAATTTTAGGACGATGGCAGCGCGCAAAAATAAGAATAATGCGACGCAATGAAACTGAATTAGAGCTTTCAGCTAGCTTTTTATACCCCTTTATCCAAACCTAAGTACAGTAAAACAAATTCTTTAACTTATCAAAATAAGTCGAAATAATATTTCTTTATTTTTTCCCATCTTAAGCTTGATTGATGGCTGTGTATAAAATTCATTCACTTGAAATGTAGCCATGCTTTTTTTTTTGTCAAAAATCATATATAAAATTAAGGTAATTCCTGGTTTATATATATATTTTTTATATTTTCTAATCTATATCCGTTATATACGACAGAATGAAATATTTTGGATAACATTTTGCAAATTTTACATCAATTTCTTCCCAGTGTCTAGTCTTGTAACCCAAACTAACACTTGGACATGGCTCCCGCGATTTGCATAAATGCTTAGAGCCAAGTTTATGACTGACTTGCGATTGCATCGACGATGAGTTGTGCCCCAGATGGCGGAAGACAGGGCAAAGGGTCAGAGGTTGTGGGTTCGTTGTTTTCTGTGCCGCTTGGCAGGTTATTAGTCGCTCGGCTAGCACATTTTGTTTGCCATTAAAATCATTTGCATAGTTTGTATTTATGCAGACGCTTTGCTCGTGCCAAGCTCGCATCGTTTTGCATTATTGAATATAACGCATACGCACTGTTGACCCGTTTTCGGTGGGGGCTTTGTGGGCGCTTCTGTGTGCAATCAATGTGGATTTGAATGCTTTATGAAGGTGCATGCACCGTTTATTTTAGCCGACTCCAGCCGAGATTGTTTTGCAAACAAACACGGGGCCGAGGGCAGGAGTCAGGAAGCGGCCAATTATTTGACTAGTGGACAGGATGTCATCGAGGTCATAGGTTAAACTAATGGGGGTAATGGTTTACTTACATACTTTATGGATTACTGACTTTACTTCAATAAAAAATTACTATAACAAGGCTTTTTGACTCACGTATGTTATGGTACATGAAAAGAGAATATAATAATACTTTAGTAATTTTACCATTAAGTATTTTCCTTCGTTTATTTATGATCAATAATTGTTCAGTATTCCCGAGAGTTTCTCCTTGATGTACAACAAAAATCTGTATTTTATATATATTTTCTATTTCTATATCCTACAATACATAGTATACATATAAAATTTAACAACTCTTTGATTTGTTTACCCCTTGTGTTAACTCTTATCATCATTAATTTCATAGTACCCGAAATGAACGCGGAGCTGCTCGAAACTCAGAAACGTAATAACCGTATTGGGAACCATTCGCAAAACGCATGGCACTATCCCCCGAAAGGGTCCCCGCGGTCCAAAGCGCATCATATACGCTATGGTACCGATCATTCCGCTGGGGTTCACCATCTTGAGAGCTCTTAAGTTTTCTACGGGCTTAATGATCGGAGCACAGATGCAAGCAGCCGTAATGGAACTTATCAGGTGGACAAATGTGCTATCGTGCTTCAGTTTGAACCATGCCATGTAGATCTCCTTGGACTGCAGATTAGATTAGCAAATGATGGTGGTCTTTACCTTGTGTATATTTACAGTGTATAATAAATACTTACCTGATCGTATGCCGCATTTTGGCCGATGGTGATGAAGCTGGACCGAATGAACGAGAGAAGACCGCCGCTGTAGAGCCTCGTCCAGCCCTCTTCCCTGGTCACGCGGTACAGGCCGTCGAAGAGATTGCGGTAGTTCCACCGCTTATCCGGAGGCAGGGCACGGTTTACTTGCATCCGGGTGTTTACCAACTCCATGGGTATGCCCACCACACCCGCTACACATCCCGCCAAGCCGGCCACGAAAACCTTATCCAACAAGTCGCAAGGTTCGTCCATCTGCAACTTGCCTTTTTCGTACAGGTGAAACCGAAGCGAGGTGTACGTCAGCTGTCTCAACAACTGGGCACTCAGGCCGTCGTAAAGGGAAAGGAAACCTAAATACCGGGTTTATGAAGATAAAATATGAAAAATATTTTATTCCACAAAAAACGCTATTTTGATGCCAAAGAGGTTCCTGATTGGTTCAATCTTAAAGAAAATCTCTTTTTCAAAATTGATTCATCTTAAAAAAAATTCAAGAGCACTTTCGTCTTGAGTTCAAGGAAGATTCTTCTTGATTAAGGCGGAAAACGAATTTTCAAATTGAGACTTCAGATTTAATGCCAAAGCGATTCAATCTTAAAGAAATCTCTATTTCAAAATTAATTCATCTTAAAAAACAAATTCAAGAGCACTTTCGTCTTCAGTTAAAAGAAGATTCTTCTTGATTAAGGGGGAAAACGAATTTTCAAATTGAGAATTAAGATTTGATGCCAAAATGGTCCCTGATTGGTTCAATCTTAAAGAAAATCTCTATTTCAAAATTGACTAATCTTAAAAAAACAAATTCAAGAGCACTTTCGTCTTTAGTTCAAGGAAGATTCTTCTTGATTAAGGGGGAAAACGAATTTTTAAATTGAGATTAAAGCTTTGATGCCAAAGTGGTGCCTTATTGGTTCAATCTTAAAGAAAATCTGTATTTCAAAATTGACTCATCTTAAAAAACAAATTCAAAAGCACTTTCGTATTGAGTTCAAGGAAGATTCTTCTTGACTAAGGGGGAAAATGAATTTTCAAGTTTAAGATTTAAGATATAATCTTAGTTTTCTAGTTATAGTTATTGTAATGTGTGCTTATAGTTCATGATGATGGTTGGGCTTTGAAAAGTGTGCCTGGAAATTACCATCCGTCCGGAGAGCATGTTGTAGACTGGAAGCCATACCCCTGTCCTTCTTGATAATCACCATTCGCGACTCGATCAGGTCGAAAGGTGTTGTAAAGAACTGCGCAACAGCCCCCGACACTCCGCCGCTCCACCAACGTGGATGTATTCTGGAATAGTTGGTTAGGAAGACTTTTAACAGGATTCATGGGAACTTACATTTGTTCGACCTTTTCGTCATTGGAGTTTCCGAGTAAAACAGCCAGCTTGGTGATTTTCGATCTATCTGCCACTTTCCCGTCTTTATACCTCTCTCTGTTCTTATGTCCATCAATCTTTGTTTTCGCCTTAATTCAGATGGGAATAATTTGACAGGGAAGTGAGTGTGTACTTTTGTTTATTTGGCCGAAACAGGTACTAGCTGCCACTTGCGACCTGAGAATAAATGTTCCCCGTATCCGGTCTAAATTGAGTCGGCAATCGGAAAACATCTCATTCCTCTGTTCTCAAGTACTAATTAGTCTAATTTGACTTAACAGTCATAATGATGTTATAGGTATTTTTATCAAGATCTTTATATTTATATTCGTGTTTTGGGTGATTAAATAATTAAGGCTTGGGAATAAAAAAAATATTGTAGACTGACTTTAAAAGCACAGGTGTAGAATCGTGTGACCGTAAGTAATTCCTTTTTATTCTAAATGAATTACCGCAAAGAAATCTAGGGTAGGATAAAAAAAACATTGTAAACTACTGACCGTAAGGAATATCCTTTGATTTGGAATTTATTATCATGAAGAAATCTGATGTGTATATGCATTTGCAAATGTTCATCGATTTCTGGAACTCCTTCTTGAGAATTCCACTTGTTCGTGTGTCATTCACTACATCCTGCCACCAATATGAGCGTTCCACCTTGGCTAATTGCTGGCCAGGAGTCCGAACTAATTGAGCCAGCTCCTCCTTTTTCCTGCTCCGCAGTTTCCCAACTTTCTACCTCTGTGCTCGGGATGGAAAGGAGTGACATCCACGCAGGTGTTGCAACGTTGTTGAGTAATTTGGCATAGTTTCGTGGCTTCGAACTCAACAGTACCCCCGGCAGACTGCGGAACTTTTGGGACTCCCTCGACGCTCACACAGTTGTCATGGCATTATCACGGCCATTAGGCATCAGCCACCGATGCGAGTGTGTACCACCTAGCGCAGTTCGAAATTGGTTGCAACTTTGGGACATATTAGAGGCAAAACTGCGGGGGCGCCGCAGAAAGTTGCTTTCGATGGGCTCGAAAGTTAGGGGACTCGTGGATAGGGTTTCGGACAAGTTGAGTAGTTTCGAAACATGGATCCATCTTTAAATTAAAAAGTTATCTACAATAGTTAAGTAGTTCCTATTGTTTAGCACTAGGTATTTCAAATGGTCTGAGTGGTCTATGAAAAGTCGCAGAAGTATGTGAAAGCAAATCATATATTCCGCAAGGAATTTCAGGAAACAAAGTAAATGAATTACGTTGTTTTATTACCACTGTATTATTACGAAGCTGAAATTTGTTGGCAATTGAAAACCACATTTTTGGGTAGACATTATTATAACTACATTATTAACAAAGGTGTACTTTCTAAGCAATATGAAGTCCATTAGAAATATAGAATTGAAATAAATTGACCCAAATTTTAAAAGTGTTTAAAAATAATTGATTTAGTTTTTATATTAAATATAAGTTTATTAGTATATTTATCAAATAATATAACTAACATATATTAAAAATTAATTAACAGAATTAAGAATAAATTTGTGAGGAAGGTAAAATCAGAACCTTTTTTAATTATGAACCAACTACAAAATGTATTTTTCTCTAAATAAAACACTAAAATTGTCTGTATCGAGTGTACGAAGCACCAGATAATATTCAGTCAATGAAATCCCGCTAAATGATTAACCAACTGCAGTATTTATGGCATACTTTTCAGCGCAGCGAATGGTTTCCTCATTAGGCGTCGAAAGCGCAGCGCCATCAATCAAGTGCTCAATCAATCAATTCGCCATTTATTTTACTGCCTGCAATTTCAGTGCACATCACCGAACTGCAATTGAAAAAACAACAGCACAAAATGGCTGCCGCACAAAATTATTTATTTGAATTTTTATGAGCCAGCACTAAAAAATTGATTCATAAATTCCAACTGCGCAAATAAACTAACACAATAAGCCATTCTATATTCTGTCCCCCCTTAGATATATCTCAGTTTACAGTTTACAGTCGTAACTGCAGGGGATGGTCTGGGGTGTCAGGCAGTTAAACTTACGTAGCCCCTACTCCTGCACACACTTTTGCCTGCGTTAGCGGAATATTTTCCATTCTTTATTTCTCTTTGGAATTGCTCCTTTCTTGTTTTTTATTTCATTGAGCTTTTCAATTTGCGCGTAATGTGAAATAATATATCACGTATGCACTTGCTCACTCTCCGGCTAACTCGCTCTGCAAATTTACTTTTGCAAATTTAATGCCCTCCTCCTCGAAAGTTTTCGACGTAACGCGTCAATTTGATATGCCTCAGCATTGACGGTATGTTCGAGTCTTTGTTTTTGGCCTTCCATTTTTCTGGTGGCACATATAATTCTGGGGAGCCCCTACCCGAACCCCGAAAACCTCCCCAGCATGTCTGTTTGCAAGTATCTTAGGTTATTAGAAAAGTTTGCGGCCTGACTAAGAGGCTACAAAAAGTTGCCAGTCGAAGAAAATTGCATATTGGAGTTGTTTAGGCCATTTCGGACAACCAAAGAAGGGAAGTCAAGAGTCTGATCTTATCCGGATCGTTTTGCACTTTAGTTCGGTCTTTATACACAGATGCAAAGTTTTAAAAGAAAAACTAAGGCTCTTTTTAAGGACCCTTTAATTGATGAGCTAAAAATCAAAAATTGACATTTAAAATCAGGCTATATGCCAAAAGTTAAAAAAAAAACATACCATATACAGTGTATATTATACATATACTATACATATTCTAAAGCTATTTACATACAATTATGTTTAATGGATGAATATTAAGTTAATTGATGTTATTGAAGTTGTTATACACTGTAGGTAAAGTAAAAATGAGTTACATAAGTATTGTGATGTCATGAAATCAGTTAAGGAATATAAAAAATACTCTGAGAAAGAAAAATATAGCAATAAACTAATGTAAAATAAAAAAAATTCCTTTATTTTGTACTTCTAATATTTGTGATCCAAATTTAATATGGTTATTATAAAAATTTAATTAAGGATTAAACCATTTAAATGTGAAAGTGTCCTTATGCTTTGCAGCGCATGCAACAGTCTGTAATAGGAAAGACCCTATATCTTCGCCGCAAGACCTGCTAAGCCCCATCTCACCCCCTGAAGGCAGCACTTACCCCCTGCATCTGATGGCAAACTTTCGCCAAGTACAACAAACAAGAGCTTGCAACGGCTGTCGATGCCGCTCCGCTCCGACCACATGTAATGCAGCTGCAAGCCGACAAACTTGGAAAAACTGAGTGCGGAAAACAGGGAAAATCGGGCGGAGATGCGGGGAAAGTGTGACAAAGGCGGGAAAGGGGGTGTCGGAAGATTCTATCAAGTTTTCCCAATTTTTTTCTCTGCTTTGCCTTTTGTGGCTTGTCTGGTCGCCCTGCTCTCCACCCCCTTTTTGGCCAATTTTCGTGTTGAACTCTTTTGGGAAATGTTTTTGGCCAAAATATCAACATTGGAACAACTGCTGACAGGGATCACAGGTGGCAAGTGCAAATGACCTAGGAAAGTGCAGGAAAACCGGGCGGAGGTTAAGGGGTTAAAGGTCTCTGGTGGTGCGACAATTAACTGGTCAAAGCTGTCGCAGGAGTCACTCAAAGGACCAGACCCCGAACCAGTCACGAATCAAAGCAACCGGAGCTCTAGCCAAGTGCTACGAAAACTCCAAAATCCATTTTACGATAATGCAACTTGGCAGAAAGCCAGCAACAAAAAAAAAAAGCCAAAAAAGTAATGAAAAACATGGCGAAAGATTGATAGTACCGGCGAGCCAAGTTGGCCCTTGGTCCGAAGAAGGCCAATATTTTGGGCAACATGTGCCGTAATAATAATAACAATACAAACACCCAGTACAAACACCCAGTACAAACAGCTACGAATTCACTGCAGTTCTTGGCCAAACAAACCGTTCGATGCCGAAAATAGTTACCATGTATTCACATGCTCTGATGTCGATATACTTTTTATTACTTTATAAAGCTAAGGGTTCTGCACAACTAATTTAATAAAATGAAAATAAATACCATTTTTGATTATTATTTAAGGTGGATTATGGATTTAACAAAGATATTTTAGTTCTAAAAAAATGTTTTTGAACATGTTTGTCGATTTTAGTATTCTAATAAAATATTAATTAAAATAATTTTACCATTGAATTAAACCGAATAAAAATTAAACTAAACTTTAAGTAAAAAAAATAAAATCCATTTTAATCTAATTCTAAAATAAAATTGTTTACCATTTAGATAACTTTTTGAAATACTACTAATAACCAATCTTAAGAAGTGATCAAATATTATTTCAAGTGGACTAAGGTGACTTAGGAAGAAATCTGTTCTTAGTACAACCCATCACTATAGAAAGAATATTTGGTAAAAATAAGGATGTTTCATCTTTACGGGTTTGGGCTCTGTATCGACTCTTTTAATATTTTAAGAGTTTTCTATATACACCTATCTTAGTTCAGAACTTTTAAAGTACCTTAGTCACACTCTTAAAATTTTTTCAGAATTAAATTAAAATGGATTTTATTTCTTTGTTACCAACACGGGATATATATAAGAATGCACATAGTTAAAACATTTCACCGACACCAACCGCACCACCTTCTTCAAACTTCCACTTAGTACGTATACGAAAAATCGGAATACCTCCCATAAATATTAAGAATTAACTCTAGTTCCTTCCAGCCCCAGACGATCAGGATATCCGCAGCCCCAAAGGACACACAACGCCGAGCTCAGACCCGCAGAATGGCGGATATTCCGAAAATGCCCAGACAAGCGCTCGAACCCCATGGCTCCGGGCAACGTGGCGTATGCGCAATTACCAGGCAACCGCTGCGAGGCGAGACATGCTGAAAAGTCGAGCCACCAGTCGACTTCAAGCCGACTCTCCGGGCCAGTCCAACCTTAAGTTCTGCTGGGTTATTTAAAGTTCGCGTTATTAATAAATGCCTCAGTGGGGCAGTCGCTCTGCCCAGCCTTTGGTCTGATATGCAGCGCTTGATTAGTGCAGGGCCTAACTTATGGCCAGGGGGCGGCCATCGGTTTCTGGGCGGGAAGCGTGCTGGGCCCTGACTTCCTGCAAATTACTGAGAGTTTTGCTGGGCGCAAAGTTTGGCGCGTTATCGTGGAAAGTTTAATGGAACTATGTCGTGCCGTGCAGCGCCCCCAAAAACAGGCGGTCCAAGTCAGACAACCCCCCACAACCCACTCTGTCCGTGGGTGCAGTGCATCTGCAGTGGCAGGGAAATCGGTGTTAGTCCTCCGTGTTAAGCCTAGATGGTTCTCAGCAGGGCTTCGGCTAATTGCTGAGGACACCCACACATTTGACAGATTTGTTGGCTCCAGAATTAGGAGCAAAATTGGGT